CTCCGTTTTCATTTCTATTTCCGTTGATTTGAGTCCTCTCCCTTTTTTCTTGATGAGTCTGGCTCATGGTTTCTCAATTTTGTTTATCTTCTCAAAGAATCAGCTTTTAGTTCTTTGCTATTGTTTCCTTGATTTGTTTTTCTTTTATTTCTGACCTGATCTTTATGATTCTTTATGATTCTTGTTTTCTTTTATTTCTAACCTGATCTTTATGATTTCTTTCCTTCTGCTAACTTTGGGGGTTTTTGGTTCTTCTTTCTCTAATTGCTTTAGGTGTAAGATGAGCTTGTTCATTTGAAATGTTTCTTGTTTCTTGAGGTAGGATTGTATTGCTATAAACTTCCCTTATAACTGCTTTGGCTGCATCCCATAGGTTTTGGGTCGTCGTGTTTTCATTGTCATTGGTTTCTAGGTACTTTTTAATTTCTTCTTTGATTTCTTCAGTGATCTTTGGTTATTTAGTAGTGTATTGTTTAGCCTCCATATGTTTGTGTGTTTTACAGATTTTTTCCTGTAATTGATATCTAGTCTCATAGCATTGTGCTCGGATAAGATACTTGATACAATTTCAGTTTTCTTAAATTTACCAAGGCTTGATTTGTGACCCAAGATATGATCTATCCTGGAGAATGTTCCATGAGCACGTGAGAAGAAAGTATATTCTGTTGTTTTTGGATGGGATGTCCTATAAATATCAGTTGAGTCCATCTCATTTAATGTATCATTTAAAGCTTCTGTTTCCTTATTTATTTTCATTTTGGATGATCTGTCCATTGGTAAGAGTGGGTTGTTAAAGTCCCCTACTCTGATTGTGTTACTGTCGATTTCCCCTTTTATGGCTGTTAGCATTTGCCTTATGTATTGAGGTGCTCCTATGTTGGGTGCATAAATATTTACAGTTGTTATATCTTCTTAGATTTACCCCTTGATCATTATGTAATGTCATTCTTTGTCTCTTGTAATAGTCTTTGTTTTAATGTCTTTTGTCTGATATGAGAATTGTTACTCCAGCTTTCTTTTGATTTCCATTTGCATGGAATATTTTTTTCCATCCCCTCACTTTCAGTCTGTATGGGTCCCTAGGTTTGAAGTGGGTCTCTTGTAGACAGCATATGTATGGGTCTTGTCTTTGTATCCATTCAGCCAGCCTATGTCTTTTGGTTGGAGCGTTTAATCCATTTACGTTTAAGGTAGTTATTGATATGTATGTTCCTATTACCATTTTCTTAATTGTTTTGGCTTTATTATTGTAGGTCTTTTCCTTCTCTTGTGTTTCCTGCCTAGAGAAGTTCCTTTAACATTGTTGTAATGCTGGTTTGCTTGTGCTGAATTCTCTTAGCTTTTGCTTGTCTGTAAAGCTTTTAATTTCTCCATCGAATCTGAATGAGATCCTTGCTGGCTAGGTTGTTGGTTGTAGGTTTTTCCCTTTCATCACTATATTTCCTGCCACTCCCTTCTGGCTTGCAGAGTTTCTGCTGAAAGGTCAGCTGTTAACCTTATGGGGATTCCCTTGTATGTTATTTGTTGTTTTTCCCTTGTTGCTTTTAATATTTTTCTTTGTATTTAATTTTTGATAGCTGATTAATATGTGTCTTGGCCTGTTTCTCCTTGGATTTATCCTGTATGGGACTCTGTGCTTCCTGGACTTAATTAACTATTTCCTTTCCCGTATTAGGGAAGTTTTCAACTATCATCTCTTCAAATATTTTCTCAGTCCCTTTCTTTTTCTCTTCTTCTGGGACCCCTATAATTCGAATGTTGGTGTATTTAATGTTGTCCCAGAGGTGTCGGAGACTGTCCTCAATTCTTTTCATTCTTTTTTCTTTATTCTGCACCGAGGTGGTTATTTCCACTATTTTGTCTTCCAGGGCACTTATCCGTTTTGCTGCCTCAGTTATTCTGCTATTGATTCCTTTTAGAGAATTTTTAATTTGATTTAGTTTGTGGTTCATCATTGCTTGTTTGCTGTTTAGTTCTTCCAGGTCTTTGTTAAACGTTTCTTGTATTTTCTCCATTCTATTTCCAAGATTTTGGATCATCTTTACTATCAATATTCTGAATTCTTTTTCAGGTAGACTGCCTATTTCCTCTTCATTTGTTTGGTCTGGTGGGTTTTTGCCTTGCTCCTTCATCTGCTGTGTTTTTCTCTCTCTTCTCATTTTGCTTAACTTACTGTATTTGGGGTCTCCTTTTCACAGGCTGCAGGTTAATTGTTCCAGTTTTTTTTGGTGTCTGCCCCGAGTGGGTAAGGTTGGTTCAGTGGGTTGTGTAGGCTTCCTGGTGGAGGGGACTGGTTCCTGTGTTCTGGTGGATGAGGCTGGATCTTGTCTTTCTGGTGGGCAGGACTGCATCTGGTGGTGTGTTTTGGGGTGTCTGTGACCTTATGATTTTAGGCAGCCTCTCTGCTAATGGTTGTGGTTGTGTTCCTGTCTTGCTAGTTGTTTGGCATAGGGTGTCCAGCACTGTAGCTTGCTGGTCGTTGAGTAGGGCTGGGTCTTAGTGTTGAGATGGTGACCTCTGGGAGAGCTTTTGCTGTTTGATGTTACGTGGAGTCAGGAGGTCTTTGCTGGGCCAATGTCCTGAACTTGGCTCTCCCACGTCAGAGGCACAGGGTTGACACCTGGCTGGAGCACTAAGACCCTGTCAACCACATGGCTCAGAAGAAAAGAGAGAAAAAAAGAAGAAAAAAAATAATAAAATAAAGTTATTAAAATTAAAAAAAATAAAGAAGTTGGGGCTTCTCTGGTGGCACGGTGGTTGAGAGTCCGCCTGCTGATGCAGGGGATGCGGGTTCATGCCCCGGTCTGGGAAGATCCCGCATGCTGCGGAGTGGCTGGGCCCGTGAGCCATGGCCACTGAGCCTGCGCGTCTGGAGCCTTTGCTCCACAACAGGAGAAGCACAACAGTGAGAGGCCTGCGTACTGCAAAAAAAAAAAAAAAAAAAGTTAGAGTTATTTAAAAAAAGAAAAAGAAAGAAAGAAGAGAACAACCAAACCAAAAAACAACCTCACTAATGATAACAGATGCTAAAAAGTATATACTAAAGAAGAAAAAAAAGAAAAAAACGGACAGACAGAACCCTAGGACAAATGGTAAAAGCAAAGCTATACACACAAAATCACACAAAGAAGCATACACATACAGAAAAAGAGAAGAAGGAAAAACATATATATCTATATATAAAAAAAAGAAGAGAGCAATCAAATCAATAAACAAATCTACCAATGATAATAAGCTCTAAATACTAAACTAATGTAAACATAAAACCAGAAACAAATTAGATGCAGAAAGCAAACCCCAAGTCTACAGTTGCTCCCTAGGTCCACCGCCTCAATATTGGGATGATTCGTTGTCTATTCAGGTATTCCACAGATGCAGAGTACATCAAGTTCATTGTGGAGATTTAATCTGCTGCTCCTGAGGCTGCTGGGAGAAATTTCCCTTTCTATTGTTTGTTCGCACAGCTCCTGGGTTTCAGCTTTGGATTTGGCCCCGGCTCTGCATGTATGTCACATGCAGAGGGAGTCTGTTCTTCGCTCAGACTGAGGGGGTTAAAGGAGCAGCTGATTAGGGGGCTCTGGCTCACTCAGACTGGAGGGAGGGAGGGGTATGGTATGTGGGGCAAGCCTGCGGCGGCAGAGGCCAACATGACATTGCAACAGCCTGAGGAGCGCCGTGTGTTCTCCCGGGCAAGTTGTCCCTGGATCATGGGACCCTGGCAGTGGCGGGTTTCACAGGCTCCTGGGAGAGGAGGTGTAGATAGTGACCTGTGCTTGCACACAGACTTTCTTGGTGGTTGCAGCAGCAGCCTTAGTGTTTCATGACCATCTCTAGTGTCCGCACTGATAGCCATGGCTCACGCCTGACTCTGGAGCTTGGTTAGGCGGTGCTCTGAATCCCCTCTCCTCACGCACCCCAAAACAGTGGTCTCTTGCCTCTTAGGCAGTTCCAGACTTTTACCCGGATTCCCTCCCCAGCCAACTAATTTCTGAAACAGCAAGTTAGTTTTATTACGTAACTCACTTTACTGATATTTCAGCATCCATTTTGAGCCCGTTGTGACTATCCTTTCAATAAGAATTTGGGTGATGTGCTATTACTTAACAAAAGGGCATTTTTCTTGACTGAGGCATCTTTTTTAAGTTCTCTTTTCTCCCTTGTAATACAGCCAAGTCTGTTTGCACAGTAGACATTAACTCACTTTGTTTTATGGCCACACATTGCACCCTCGACCCCAGTCAAATCTTTTATAACTGCCTATGTTTTGGCAAGAAAGTGTGTATCATAAATCTATCTTCATTAATTTGCAAAAACAATTTTCTGTCAGGATATCCCTCAACATTAAAAAATGTATTACTCTTGCATTTTGTTTAAAAATGAACATAATGGGTATTTTTTGGTTCAGGGTAGTACAATGATATCAATACATCAAAAACCTAGATGGGATGGTCGCCAACTAATTCTGTCTTGGAGTATTTGACAACTGACTGTGAAAGGAGTTCATTTCACCTTTCTGATTCCTGAGTTTTGAAAAAGATCCTTTGGAAGTAAATGAACTTAGTGGGAAAGTAACCCTATTCTTCCACGTGTTCCAAATCTTGTGCACATTCTCTCACCAAACATGGCATTGTTGACACAATCTGAGTCAGAAAAATGGGTCTCTGGGGAGGAAATGATTTGATGTGTTCAGTGTAGGCTTCCCCACTTAGCCCTCACCCAGGGGAGTCCTATTGGCTTAGGGAGGTGAGCAGCTCTCTCTGTGTGTAAAAGGGACTCGAAAAGGAAGGGAGGAAGGCAAGCCTCTTCTGGTCTATTTTAGAATTCCTATCGGGGCAAGAAAGCCATGCTTTGTGGGAAGTGTGCACTCAGAAATGCTGCCTCATGAGAGCTAAGGAAGTGAAGTGAGCCCAGCTTTGCAGCAAGGCTTGCGTGACCCTTGCCGAGTACTTTGGGCCACAGGACCTGTTTCTCAAGCTCACCAATGATTTTATCTCCTACAGGTGCATAGCTTTAAGGGCTACTGGGAAAAACTGAACTCCAACCTGGAATATGTTAAGTACTCCAAGCCACACTTACACTATAACAACAGCGTGGTCAGGAGAGAGTGGCACAGCCTGATCTCAGAAGAGGTATGTGTGGGTTCCTGAGCGCAGAGCAAGAAGCAGAAGCCCAGCCGATTAGGTTCGGTGATGCCCTTAGGCCATTAGGCTGGCCCGTGTTCCAGCACTCTCCCCACTTGCCAGGCACTGCTTATTAATACTGCTGATCCCCAGTAGGGAGACCAAGGTGCTTCTCTGACCTCTCTTCTCTTGAAGAGGAAATTCAAGTGCAAAGAGGTTAAAGGACACACATGGCATGTTCATAGTAGAAGTGGGATTAACATCCGGGTCTCAGATGTGTTTTTGTGCTCCTTGTGTAGTTAAAAATTGATTAAAAAAAAAAACCTGGGTGTTCCCAAAGTAGTGGTTGCTAGGGGTTAGGGATGGTTGAAAGGAAAAGAGTGAATGTGACCCCTATCAAGGGATAGCACAAGGGAGATCTTCGGGGTGATGGAGCATTTCTGTATCTTGATTATGGTGGTACATTGTGATATGTGAATCTACACATGTGATAAAATGACAGCACTATACGCTCACTGTACCAGTGCCAGTTTGCTGATTTGTGTATTGTACTGTAGTTATTTATAGAAGATGTAAACACTGAGGGAGACTGGGTAAAGAGTACATGAGCTGTCTGTAGCATTGTTGGATATAGTTGTAGTGTTGTTGTATATAATATGTAGTTGACTTGCAACTATATAAAATATGTAATAGTTTCAGAATAAAACTTTTTTAGAGCAATTGTTAAAGAATTTAGGTGTTCTGATTACCTGGAAAGTACCTCTCTTTTTTCTGAACTCTTAACTATATTGTATTATGACCTCAGTGTGAAAAATGTCACCCACAAAACCTTCACCTTCCACACTTTTGACGTGTTCTCACTCCTAGAAAAAAGGAAAAAGAAGGTCCACGGTGTATGTGAGAAATATTCTTGATAATGCAATAAAGTAAGTAAAATGAGGGATTATTGTAGCTGTAAGATGGTTATATTTTGCAATTACTTTCTTGGCTACCTTTCAGGGAAGTAGCTTACTTTTGTTGCATATCCTCAGCAAGATGATGCTATCAGCTTATTAACGCAGCCACCTGACCCCTATTCTGGAGTTTGGAGCTGGAGTTTCTAGTGGGAAAAATTTATATGTTAAACCTTTTAGATTTGCATCCTGGGGCTAGATGACTTACAAGGGATAAGTGGTAAAGAAAACTCTTATTAGTTGAGCACTTTAGAGGGGTACAAACATTAGGTTGATTTTAAACAAGTGTAAGTGGGCTGGTGAGCTTGCTCTTATTTTGAAAGCATATTTTCTGGGTAGATGAGTCATCTCGGAGTGCCATAAGCATAGGCCCCATTCCAACCCCTGTTCTATTTTCTGTTCCCCTTATTTCCAATAACTGAGAGCTGTAATTGTTCTAAATTATTGTCATTGTTTGCACTAAAGAGTTTTGAGATTTTATAAATTGCCTAATGTGGCTTTTGCCAAGTTGATTAAAGTTTTTGAGGTTTTCAGCAGCCTGAGAACAGTTTCTGCGGTGGTTTGATGGGTTTTTAAAGGAGGATATCTTTGTATGGTGGTGTGGCTTTCGTTGTTTTTTTTTTTTGAATAATGCTTCCTGTGTGAATAACATTGGCTAATTTCTTTGTAGGGTGATTTCTAACCTAGAAGCAAGGAATTTGGGTAAGAAAATAAAATAAAGTGTTCTGGATTTCAGTCAGTGTTTTGTAATACCATTCTTCCTCCCACTGGGGGTTGGCAGGGAAATCCCTTCCACTAGTGCTGTGAAGGCAGCACCCTTTACTATTTTCCCATCAGAGTGGCCACCCAGCTCTTTCCATGTCTCTCTTGGCACCAGGTCCTTTGGGGACAGCTGCTCTTGCCGAGGAGTCCCTGACTGTTTTCCTTCTGTTTCCCCACAGAACTGATCAAATTAACATGCCCTCTGGCTGTCCTCCCAGGGTGTAGTTCCCCTGGGCTTAGAGCTGCTTTCTCTCCAGCTGTCTGATCATACAAGGATCTTTGACTTGTATGTTCCTTTCATTTCGGTTAGCACTTGGGCACTCCCTGGGCTAGGTCACAGGGGCACAAAGACGAGGGGCCTCTAGACAAACAGTGTGGGTATGGGGGGAGAGTATGGACTTAGAGGCGGACAGAACTGGGCTTAAACTCCAGCTTGGCCACCATGTGCTTTTAGGCAAGCCATTTATCCATTTTGTGTGTTGTTCTCCTCAGGGCAAGCGTGAGGAGAAAATGAGAGTCAACAGGGTCGTGTTTACAGTGCCCAGTCCCTCGCTTGGTACATGGGATACCTGACATGGCTGCTTTATCTTTAGTGTGTGAGGAAGAAATGCTAGCACATAGCCTCTAAACCAGGGGACAGGCATTACGCAGCTGCAGGGTGCAGGGGGTGAGGGGCTAGGTCAGGAGTGGGGACGAAAGTTGTAAAGGCTTCCCACGGCGGGGTGATGTCCGAGTTAAGTCTTGACAAAGAAGGGGAACTTAGCCAGGGGAAACTGGGAGGAGAGGATGCTAAACGTATTCAATATAGGCTTTTTTGGTGATTTTGTCTGTGGAACTCTTTCAGACTTCCTAAAGGTCAGCCTCCATTAAAAAAGGAGCTGTTGTTTTTATGTCCCACTTCCGTTTTATGGGCTTGGATGTTTAGGTATATGTTGGGTGACCCTAACGGACATTATTTTATATGATGCGTTGCCGCACATCCTGCAACTGTGCGCACAGCCCGCATGAGCTGTGAAGTCACTGAGTAGCCCCGGGAACCAGGCCATCTAGGCCTGAAGCCAGGGCTCTGCCCCCAACACCAGGCAGGAGGAGTCCGCCAGGGGTGTGAGTGAGCATGCAGGCTCCCCTCCTTGCGTTGCTAGGGGATTTGCACTGTGGGAAGTGCTGCCAGTCTGGCTGAGGTTCCTGTGTGTCCTCTGCTCCCACGACTGGGTAGAACTCCTGTTCTTGTACTTCAGGCCTGTTTGCGTCCCGTTACTAGTTGTTCTCACTTGATGACCTTCAGGGAACTTCCCCCTTCCTCTCAGGTGCTTTGGTTGTGCTAGTTTCCTAGGAAAAATGTCACTGTCAGAGATGGAACATTCCTTGTGAAGTTCAAAACAGCTGTGAAAACTACTGGGCTCTAGTTTTGAATTGTTTACCATGAAGGCTGTGTAGGATCCAGTTAGGATTTATCTCAAGGGGTCAAGAGGCATCCGTGCCCTCCCACACGGAGTCCTCAGCCCCCTGACCAGGGCAGTTCCGCCTGTTGACGGGCTCGTGACTCGGGTTCTGGGAGAGGAAGGTGGGGCACGAAGGTGCCGTTAGCGGAGCGTTAGGGCAGATCTTCCTAGAGACAGCGTTTTCCTGTCCCCCCAGTCTTGCTGGTGCGGTGCAAGTCAAGGTGGAGAAAGTGCCATTTGGTTTAACCTTACATGCCACTCTTCCATCTCAGTTAGCTACCTTTTCAGTCCCATAACTTGTGCCAATTATTCTTATTTACCCCAGTAACTGACTGGTCTCGCCTCAGTTACTCTATAAACTACAAGTTGGAGTCAGAAAGAAGGGCGTCATGCGCCCCTTCACTAAGTCCCCATCCCTGGGTTTGCCCCTCCCTTAGGGTTTAGAGAGGGCCCAAGTCGTTCATTCTCCTATGAAGCAGAGGATCTTAGTGGTGAGTCTTCACACTGAAGAGAAATCAAAGTCAGAGTATATTGGTGTTGGGAACGTGTTCCTTGTTTTCTTTCTTTCTTTCCCAGTTTCTGCCTCTCTGGTTCACAGCTCTCTCGCTCTCTCTCTCTCTCTGCATATCACTAAGCGGTAAGTTGCAGCATGTAGAACTAGGTCACACTGAATGAAAAATTTTCATCCCATCAGGGAATTGTTATGTTTTCCCAGTGACTCAGAGAAGGGAAACCCAGGCTGAGGCCTCCTCCTTCCAGCCCATTCCCGAAAACCACCCTGCTTGACTGTTGCGCTCTTTAATTTCAGAGCCAAGATTAACACCCCTCTTCCAGGAGGAAGACAACCACCAGCGGCTGCTTATGGGCCTGGTAAGTGGTCTGTGGGCTGTTCAGTGCTGGTGAACAGTGGGCTCCAAGGAAAGGAGGAAGGGCTAGATTGTACTTCTCATTCTGTTCTTGTTTTTCATTCACTCTTTCAACACAGGGTTGTTGCCAGTCACTCACTGTAGGCTCAGCGGTGAGGAACACATATATAATTTCTGCCCTCTTGGTACTTGTAGTCTTGTGAGAGAGACATGAATTAATCAGTGACCCCAATAAATGTATAATTATAAAACATCATAAGGAAATGTATAGCACTGAGAGTTTTTAAAATAGGAAACAGCAGCGTCTCTGTAGCATTTGTATTTGGGTTTAAAATACGACGGGATAAAGTATTTTTTCTCAAGAGGTCCTACCACTAGGAAGACCAAAGAGATGTAAATCAAAATAAATTAATTGAAGAACAGGATTGGCAAATAAATCCAAAATCTTAAAAAAAAACTATTAAACATCTGAGAAGTCTAATAAAATATTTTTAATACTGTGCAGGCTTAGGAATGGGATAATCTATTACCTTAAATATAGGTAGTTGAAAAATATGAGAAAAATATGTGTAAATACATATTCATACACTTAAAAATTCTAGTTAAACAAAGTTTCCTTGGCAACTAGAAATGACCAAACTTGAGCCAAGAAGAGATAGAAAGCCTGAAAGCATAATAACCATAAAATAATTTGGAAAAAATATGAAAGATTATCTCCAAAAAAGGCCCCAAGTTATTTAATAAGTTTGTGCTTTCAGACTTTTAAGGACCAGATCATTCTCATGTTATGTAAAGTATTTTTGAAAAAAAGATGGGAAGCTTCTTAATCACTTTAAAAAGCCAGCATAACCTTAAAACCAGAATCCGACAGTGACTACTTACGGTTATGAATATAGATACTACAGGCGTAATTAAAATACTTCCCAGTGCTCTATTTGAAAATACAGCATAGCCACATGGGCTTCTTTCTAGGAAGGCTTAATATTGGAAAATATATTAATGTAATTCATCACACGACTAAGTCAAAGAGGAAAAAAAAGATTCTATAGGTGCTAAAAGTTGATAAAAGTAAAATTCCACTCCTGGAATTTTAAACAAAGTATAGTCTAATACTAATAGCCAGCATCCTTCTTCATGTCACATTGGAGGCATTCCTATTAACGTCAGAAAGAAGTTAAGTATCCTTGCTATTTTCACTAAAATTTTATGTTGTTTTAGAAATTCTAGCCAATGCAATAAGAAATGAAAGTAAAAGAAGACGCTATGATTGTCTAATGCAACAAACAAAATAATCAACTGGGAAAATAATAAAATTAGAAAATAAAAAAAAATAATGCTGCAAATTAGTAAGCTGGTGATGCTATATTTATTTTCTTTTTGATTAGGATTAACCAGTTAAAAAAGATAACGAAAAACAGTGTATTATTTCCAAATCCTTAGCATCTAACTTTAGTAAAATTATAAACAAAAAGCCAGTGAAATTTCTCTGACAGTTGACTGACTCACTTGACAAAATAAAGAGGAATGGGACTGGCGTTACGAGATATCTAAATGTGTTGTTGGTCTACAATAATTGGAACAATATGGTGCTGATACAAAGATAGACAGGAGGCTCTAGTTTAAATTTGGGTATTTGGTGTATGATAAAAATGAGGCATTTAAAAATCAATGGGGAAAGAAATAATTTTCAATCAATCAATCAATGCCTCACTATTTGGAAAAGACAGTTAAGTTAGATTCTTCCCACCCCAAATACCGCCACTTTATATCATAAACCAACAGAAATGTCAGGTTAAGGAGTCATATAAAAATTTTAAACTGTGTGAAAGAATTTGAATAAGGGGACAGTTAAAAAATACTGAGAAAGCCTTTTAAGTGTATTATTGAACATAAACCTACAGGAGAAGATTGACTGAAAACTTAGAAGAGAACAACAGAAAGGCAATACATTTAGAAAAAAGTATTTGCCACATATGTGATAAAAGAATAACATTTGGCATGTAATGTTTATAAATCAGTAAGAGAACAACACACTGGAAGGGAAATGGACAAAAGCTGTGACCAGTGAATTTTCAAAAGTTAATTTAGGCCAAGAGATCTTGAGTTGGGGCAGGGTAAGAAAGAGAATGCTTAACATTACTATAATCAAATGACAAACAGAATAAATGTTTTTCTTTGTTTGTCTTTTTTTTTTTGTCTATCAAATTGACAAAAATTTAAAAATCATACTAGGAAAGTTCAGGGTACAGGGAATTTGACAGCCTCATGAGATGGAATTGGAAATTAATATAACCACAGTGGAAGCCATTTTAGCAATGTCTCTGTAACCTTAAGTAGGGACCCAATGAATTCCATTTCTAGGAATTTAGCCTGACAAAATAATCGAGCATATGGCAAGCAACTTTTGTGTAAGGATTTTTTGGTGGTATTTGTAACAATAGTAAAGGAAATATCGCATATGTATAAGAAGGGAATAAATAATTCAATTATAGTATTTTCATAAAATTGGACACTGTGCAGCCATTACAACTAGTGTGATAAAGAATATTTAATGACATAAATTATTATGTGAGAAAAAGCAGATTGTAAAATATTAGAATGAGTGTGCAAACTGAAAAAAGGAAAATAAAAAACCCAAAGTGTTAATGTAGATGGTAGGATTATGAGCAATTTAAATTTTCATCTTTATGCTTATTATAGAAAAATTGAAATGCACAAAAATATGCATTATAACTTACACAGAAAAAAAATAATTTTTTTTAAAGCCTAATCAATTAGCACATGCCGGAGACTGAATTGAAATAATATACCACTCTGTCTTGGCCCAGGATGCCACGGGCTAAGGTTTACCCAGTGTGTCTGTCGTAAATGTAAATCTGCTAAAATAGAAGGTATATATACTTGTGTTGTCAGTTGTACAATTCCCATGGTGTTTATTGATGCAAAGATTTCTCTAGCCAAGAGGGTTTGTAGCTGATCAGGCCATTTAGGCAAAAGCGAGGAAAAAAAGGAAGAAAAGGAGAGAAAAGCAAAAAGTGGGAGGGCTGGGAATGCCACACTGATTGGGGAGCCCCAGGGATGGTTAGAAGAGTGTGGCTACAGAAACAAGCCCATTTGGAGGCACTAGGCTAAATATATCCATACCTTTACATACCAGGGAGCTGCGTGGAATGTCTTAACCATTGTGCAGAGAGAGATACCTGGTGCATTTCCTTTTACTCCAGCCTCTGTCCTTGCAAACACCCAAATCCTGTCCCTTCCCGCCACTCCCATTAGCATAGTCATTCCACGTTTAGAGTTGTTCCCGTTAGCTCTCCATAGCCAGGCGCAGTAGACTTCAATCCTTTGGTAGATCCCAAAGCCTTTGACTGCTAAGCTAGTGACTTCCACTGGCTTCTTTGGAGAATTCTCAGCAGGGCTGGGAGCCTGGCTCTCAGCTGTTGACTGGACTTTGGGTGAATCATAAGTCATTCCTCTCGAGGAAAATGGTGGTGCCCCCTGATTTATGCCCATTAAGGAACATTGTGGGTTATGCATTTCTGCTAGTGGGATCTTCAGGTCCAATATCTTTCATATTGATAGGAAGTGTTAATAAATGAATAGAATTCAAACCAGTTGCAGGTGTGATTGGGTAGGTTGTGACTTATCTAATCTATATTCTGTTTTCAGATGGTGTCTGAGCTAAAAGACCATCTTTTGAGACATCTACAGGGTGTAGAAAAGAAGAAAATTGAACAGATGGTTCTGGACTACGTTTCAAAACTGGTTGGTTTTGCTTTATCTTCTCTACCCGACCCACCCCCGCTCAACCGCTTGGTCTCTGGGTGTATAGTTCCCAGTATGTGGTTCAGTAGGTTTTTCATATTAGGTTTTTTGGAGCTCTCCCATCCTCAAACCTGTATATGTGGTGCTGTAGATTGAAGAAAGGGGGAAAAGAACCAAAAAACAAAGAGAATGTGGCTCTGGCAGTGGCTTATTGCACTCCCTGCGGTAGTGGTTATATGCTCATGGAAGCCTGGAACAGTGATGAATTCAGCAGTGGTTGCCAAACGTTCATGTCCTCTTGTCATCTTCCAGCTCCTTAGTAAACCATAGGTAGTGGTTTCTGTACGTGGAGGTTTCTGCAAACATGAGAGAGCTTGAACTTCAATTCTTGCTTAGCTCCAACAGCCCAATTAGGTGAGATTCCAGGCCAGTTGTATAAATACTTACCACGTTCCAGAGTCTGCTGAGGAGATTGGCATCCCATTTACCTGGTAGCCACTCATTGAAATTGTGTGATCCATGTGTAAATAGAAGTGATGCAGCTGGATTGAAATTTGAGGCTGTCTTGAGTCTTTCAAAACACATATGGAGTTGAGGCCTCACCCTACTTAGAACCTGGAAATAATAAGATGGATAAAAATTTTAAAGTATTTAAATATACAGAAAGAGAAAGAACACTGCAACACTCCATTTCTCCAGGTTTGCATAGGACCAGTGTGTAAATGTGAACAAATATTTTTGCATTGAATTCTGGAAGATTAGTTAAATTTATTAGATATGGCCCTGATTTAATTTCATGTTTAACTTTGAAAGTTTTCTGCCTTACAGGGAACTATATTCAATAATGGAAAAGAATATTAAAAGAAGAGTGTCTGTATGTGTAGAACTGAGTCACTTTGCTGTACAGCAGAGATTGGCACAGCATAGTAAATCAACTATACTTCAATTAAAACAAATTTAAAAAAATAAAAACAAACAAACGAAAAAGAAATACAGAAAGAAATCTTCTATTTTGGAAAACTGGGTAGTGGCAGAATGGCTCTGTGAATGGAGCCTGAGCTCTTGGATGGCACTTGCTTAATGAGTGTTTGTTGAATTAAAACAACTCCCCAAAATGCTCCCAAGTGCCACCCATTGATTTATTTCTATAGTAAAGTGCATGCATGGAAGTAACTCACTCAAATCCTTTGTTGGTCATATGGCCATAGAGACGGTTCATAGTTAATTAGTCGGAATAAAGTTGCGGAATATTTTTTAAAAAAAGTTTTCTGCCTTTATTGCAGTCATTAGTATCTGGTTTTAAATCATATATTTGAATTTCTGTGGTAAGGTTTGACTTTCAGAGTTTTAGTATAGGAGGAGAGGTTGGTATTTGCATATATTAATGTTTACAAGCAGGGCACTGAAACTTTCTTAAATAATAATTCTTTGCAGTTGAATGATACCAAGGGGCTCACTTTATGAATGTGTTACTGATCTTCCCCATGTTGATACTAACCTACTTTCTTTGTCCTTTCATAACACACAGTTATTTAACACATCACCAACCATCTTTCTTTCTGTTGACTTTAAATTTCATCTTCCAGAATGTTAAGGTTTTTCTTCAAGCATCATTCTTCCCTATAGTTAATCACATAAAAGAATCCCCATAACACTAGTTTGTGCTAACAGCTCCTAGAACCAATAGGACCAGAAATGGTAGAGATGAGGTCTCAGAAAACTCGTTGCCCCTGTCTTTCCAACTCAGCAGTCACTGACTGATGCCAAAGCTGCTCCCCCTGCCCAGCAGCAAACGACTGAGTCTCCCAGTCCCCTCCCAGGAGAGTGGCTGGACAGCCTTTAGAAAATAAATCCGAGGAGGTTGCTGCAAAACCTGATTATATTGCTTATTTATTATCTTACCTGATTTCAGTCAAAGAGAAACTGAGAATCTATATCATTGAGAATAAATAGTGTCTGTCTGTGCTCACATGGAAACTCTTCCTAATTTTGGCCCCTGTCCTTTGCCTACATGTGCAATGCATGGATTTGTGGTCCTGATAACAGCTCCGCGGAGATTGCCCTGTTGCTGGCAAATGAGTAAAACGTAGAACCTGGACTTGGAACTAGTTGTGCTCCACAGCACATGCTCAGGACCCCCATTCTCTTCAGAACCGCCTTTCCTCTGTCAGCTGTCAGCTATGTCACCCTTGCCACATAACAGGCCTAGGGCGAACTCTGTTGCACTTGACCTTCACTGATGGATAAGGGCCTGTGATTGAGGGCCTGTGTTTGTGAGCGATGGGGCCGATTAGCGGTGGGGAAGCTCAGCTGGGGCACTGCCTGCAATGACAGAGGGTGCTCTGTTAGACGCAGCTGCACATTTTCAGTCTTTCCATTTTGGATTCCAGTGCTTGAGAATTGACCTCAGAAAGGCTGGTTCTGTGTCCGGGCACAGCCTGAATGCCAGCTGCCCGAACATGCCTGTCAGAGCTATGGAAGGATACCTTGTAGGGGAAAGGGTATGAACAGAGGTTAACAGACTGTCTTTACCCTCTAGCTGGATCTCATTTGCCAAATACTGGAAGCCAGTTGGAGGAAACATAATCTTCATCCCTGGGTTCTCCACTTGTACGCAAGTATTTCTTGCTCTATTTTATCATGGTGTACAAAGAGGTAAAACAACTCTGATTGCTGCCTGTTGTAGCAAAGCCTTTTTGAGACTTACCGGTTGAAAGTAACTCTCACCAGCCCCTTACACCATCCATCTTAGTTCTGAACTCAACATTTAAAGTTATGCCCCTGTTACTTCACCTGTCCTCTTTCCTTGGCATCTGGCTGATGAGGGGGGAAGGGGCACATGAGCTCAGTACTGCCAAGAAGGGGAATTTAAGTTAATGCAGTTTATCATTTCTGTGCCTACTGTCTGGTTAGATTGTAGGCATTAGGCCGCTGGTCGTCATCACATCTGTGAACCTTTCTCTGGGGCATAGCCTTTCACAATTAGCATGCATTCCACCAGGATGTGGCACTCAGAGCTACTGCTTACGTGCAAATGGGGTTTTGGAGATGAGCTGCTTGCCTGACATGCTGCTTTGTTCTTTGACCAGCAATAGGCGGGCGAGTGCTGCTGAATTTGCGGTCTTTCACATCATGACCAGGATTTTGGAAGCTACTAACAGTTTGTTTTTACCTCTGCCTCCTGGTAAGTCTTGGCTTTTTTGTTTTTTGTTGTAATAAACTTGTTCTTTCTTCTTCACGTAGTCTCTGGACTTCGGTGCATTATGAGTTTAAGAATAAGCCTCCTATGTCTGCGAGATTGTGTGTCTGGTGTCACTGTGACAGATGGGCCTGAGGTTGGCCTCTGCCGACCAGATCTCCTCTGATTATTAAACTATACAGTAGCTTGTCACCAATTTTAGGAGCCAAGGCTGGTCCCCATGCAACTTTCTGGTTCAAAAACCAGTGGAGCTGATTCAGGGAGATCTTTCTCTGATGTCTCCAGGCCTAGTTTATCTGATCAAGAAAGTTAACCCTCAGAAGGAAGTAGGTCTGGCTGGGTGTCAGAAATTGAGTTGATTCTGATATGTTCCTTGGAAGCTAAAAATTTCCCTTAGGATTTTGAAAAAGGACCAAATCAGGCTTCAAAACACCTTTGGCGCATGTGTCTGCAGTCATTCATTTAATTGGTCATTTCTTCATTCAGTCAACAAACATTTGTTGAGCAATTTCATGCCAGGTACTGGGCTAGAAATTAGAGCAATTCCAAAAATTAACAAAAGTCTAGTTGGGAAAATGTGCATATAAATCAATATTCATTGTAAGAAACAAGCTCCTGTTTGCTATAAACGACCTGCCTTATGCTTATCATGTGTAAGTTCTGATGAGTTTTAAGCTTTATGATAGCTATCGCTATATAATATATACTAGCCAATTTTATTTAATTCATTCATATACATCTATGCATCCATCCATCCATCATTAATTTGTTCCTTTGTTCATTCATTTTAAGGCAACATGTATATGGTCCCCATTTTGTGCTAGGCACTATTGTAAGTACTTTACATAAATTAGCACATTTAATTTTTATAATGATGCTAAGTGATAAGAGCTTAAATTGAACCATATTAAATTGTTAATATCCAACCAGTTTTTGACCAACAAAGACGGCACTTTCAAATGGTTCCACTTAATATTATTCCCACATTATAGATGGTGAAATTGAGGCACAGAAAAGTTAAGTAACTTGCCTACAGTCACATAGCTATTAGGCAACAGAGCCAGTGCTCAAATCCAGGGAGTCTGGCCCTAAAATCTATGCTTCTAGCTACTGTTCTGTGCTGCCTCTTGAATTTTATATTCCAGTTGAATTAGTTGATATTGAAACATTGGCTGTTTATGGGCCCAGAAAATCCCCACAGCACATCTCAACTTCTCTGCATTTGTGATATATCTGGTACAGTCTGGAATCTGTCACACTTTCTCTGTCCATATGCCTTATCTTATAAGATCTGCTTGTAGTGGAGGCACAAAAGGCGTTTCTTGTGACTTTGTAGGGATCTGAAAGTGACCACTCATGAGGAGAATGGATGGCTTTAAATGGCATATGAATTGTGAGGTGCCCTCTAGAAAGAGTGGAGAGATTTCATGAAAATTATATATGGCTTTCTAGCTTAAATTCTTAATTGTTTGTCATTAACACAAAAGACCTGGTAGAGAAATGGGTCGACAGTTTCAGATTTGTTCATCATGGATCTCCAAGCTTCTTTTATAAGTAAATGACACTGACTCACTGGGGACAATATTATATCTGGGAGATCATAAAAATCCACTTTCTACAGAACATTGCATTTCTACACAGGGATGGATAAGGAGGGAAAACACAGAACAATTTTACCCATAGTGATTGAAAATTATTATGAGTAAGAGCTTAATGGCTGGTGTCCATGGGTCAAGTAAGAAAGAGCAGTTTCTCTTTTTCCTTTTCTCAGAAATGTTTGTATCCCTAATATGAAGTGACACTGGATCATGTTGGGGGGGTGGGGCATGTGTGTGTAAATGCAGGTATTTTTGTGTGTATGTATGTAAATGTGCTCGCTTTCCAGGCCCCATGGACTAGTGAGAACTGTTTGAGTTCCAAGTGTCAGAAACTTGTAACCGGAGTTACTTAAAGAAAAAAGGGAATGAGGACCACAGAAGGGAAGTCATAGTTTAGAGCTGGAGCATTTACCGCTTAAAAGGGACCTGTGTTCTCTTTGCTGCCTGGAGAAGGCCAGGAGCCCTGGAGGGTGAGGACTAGAGCTGGCTGGAAAAGGTCTCTCTTTCGGTACCGATGCCTACTTCTAGCCAGTTTGCTCTGTTGCTTAGAGCTGACATGCTGAGAGGAGGCAAGGAATGGGCTGTTGAATTTGGGACTGTGCCCTGGGAATGGAGGATAAAGGGTCATCAGGGATCTTTAGGACATGGACACAGAGCTAGAGAGGAATTTTGTTTGTTTGTTTGTTTGTTTGTTTTGCAGTACACGGGCCCCTCACTGTTGTGGCCTCTCCCATTGCGGAGCACAGGCTCCGGACGCTCAGGTTCAGTGGCCATGGCTCATGGGCCCAGCCGCTCTGCGTCATGTGGGATCTTCCCGGACCGGGGCACGAACCCATGTCCCCTGCATCGACAGGTGGACTCTCAACCACTGCGCCACCAGGGGAGCCCCTAGAGAGGAATTTTGAATGGAGAAAATCTGTAGGATCAATAACCTTCTATAAACTCTTCCTCAGAGATAATTTTATAACTTTTTTAATCTTGAGAAGACTGTCCAAATCCATTTGAAAAAATCTCATATTGTTAATTAGCTAGTAAAATCACTATTTTTTTTTGGAATCAGAGCAGTTAGTAGACTCATCCCATTGTCAGACCATTAACATCGGCTTGAGGGCAGAGTCTGAACTTTATCTGACCCTCAATGTTGCCAGGACATGGGACTCAAGTCTCCCACTGCTCATGTTTCTTATGCTCAGAGAGAGAAAGCTCCACGACGTCTCTGAATCCAAGTCCCAGCTCTCTTTGGCCATCATGTCTCTGTCATGTAAGCCTCTAAGATCAGGCAACGAGTCTTCGTCATTCCCCATCCACATCCAATCAGTTTCCAAGCCAGTACACGTCGCCATGATCCTATGATCCCTTCCTTCCCTCTCACTCTCAGTGCCCTCGTTCCCTCTTGGACACGTTCACGCAGTCACTTCCCAACAGATCTTTATTCCTCCGGTAGCAAGCTGTCACTCCAGTCCATTCTTTGCCTGTTGCCACATTAATATTCCACAAGTAAAACTCAAATCCTCTAACAATCCTGCTCAAAAGCTTTCAGTGCCTCCCCAGAGTTGACTAAATAATCAATTCCTTGCTGTCATTCAGCATTCAACCCCGTGACACATATATTAAGAGCACCCTATACTTTTCCTTCATAGAACTGGTCATATTAAAAAAAATGAATATTTATTTTGTGATTACTTGATTGTCAGTCTCCCTATCATACTGGAAGGTGGATGGGAGCAGCAGTCATGCTTGTTCTTCTCATCACTGCACACCCAGCTCCTTGCCTGGCGTGCCGAAGGGGTTTTGTTGAATAGATTAACCTTTCCAGTCTCACCTTCCACCATTCCTCTTGCACGCCTGTTCCAACCCAGCTGGGTCATTTACTCTTTCCTAAATGTACCCCGTGCTTTCTCACCTTTGGGCCTCTGCTCATGTTGTTCCATTAACACCAGTTCTTGAGGCAGGATAACGTCGTGGTTAAAAGGCTAGGCTAAAATCCCACAGCCTGCGTTCAAACGTTAACTCAGCCACTTACTATTTCCCGGTTAGGTTTCTTAGCTCCTGTGAATCTTGGTTTCCCCATTTATAAAATGGGGATCAAGTAGTTCCCACCTCATGGTGTCATATGAGGATCAAGTGAGCCTGTGCGTAAATGAAAGGCCTCAGTACCTGTCTGGTGTTGGTCACGTTGTTACACCACGTGCCAGGCTCTTCACAGACCTAGCTGTAGCTCTCAAAGCAGCCCTGCAGGAAAGGTACTGGTGATTCCACTTTAGGGATGAAGAAACAGAGGCTGGAAAGGCTTAATTACCTACGTCTAGTAAGCAGCACAGCATGATTCCGGCCTCTGTCTACTCAGGTCAAACCTGACTTCTGCTGCTTTTCCAGCCTGTATGTTCTCTCACGTCATTTCCACTCTCAGGAATGGCATTAACCCTTCAAAGCGCCTCTCACATGCCATCTTTTCCAAGAGGGCTTTTCTGATTCTCTCCCGGTCTGATGTTGTTTGTGTCGGTTAGTGTGAATAGTGGACTTAGAGCTCTAGCTCTGTGAGAGTTTGGGTAGCCCTGCCCGTGAGACTTAGACTTAGCCCTGCCCAAGGCCTTGAGAGTGCCTTTCTACTGAATTCCTAGAGATTTGCTATCTGGCAATATCATTTTAGTGCTTCTTTTATATGATTTAGTCCAAGTAGACCCCAAAAGCCTTTCTCTAGGGCATACCCAGAGATTAGTCATCTAAACTAATCAGTCCCCTTCTGGTCCAAATATTTTCTCCTGCAGCAAAATGGTCCCTGTCCATCAGGCTTTAGTCTGGGCATGTGGAGTTTGAAGCTCTACTGTTAATTTTTCTATTTTGCGATTTTACCATAGAATTACAAACCTTTTAAACTGTAAAACCATCTTCATTCAGCAGACCTTGCACTGTTTTTCTCTTTTTGCCTAGGAAGGCATGCAAGGTGGAGGGAATACGTGCTTATTGGGAACTTACTATATACCCAGCACAATACTTAGTAGTGATAATACAGAAGGAAGGAACCTTGGACCTTGTGTTCAAGGAGCATTTATTTGACTCTAGCTGCCAAGTGGTGAGCTGAGTGCTTTATTGCCATCACCAGAGTCATTCCCTCTGGGAGGCCAGAGATGATGGCTGACCGTGTCTACCGTCCCGGGTCTCTCATCCTAGGTTTTCACACTCTGCACACGATCCTTGGTGTCCACTGTCTGCCTTTGCATAACCTGCTGCATTACATTGATAACGGAGTGTTGCTTCTCACAGAAACAGCTGTCACAAGGCTCATGAAAGGTAAGGGGCTCTGAGTTTGCCTTGTTCCAGCCCCAGCACCACCGGGCTGCCTTTGTGGGTGTGCGACCTGTGGTCACACGGGGCCCTGCTGCACTCAGAAGGGGCCCGTGCAGGGTTTAATGTTCTGTATTCAATCTTGACATTCTTAATAGTTGAAGAGGGGCTCCTCGTTTTCGTTTTGCGTGGCTTCCACAATTACGCAGCTGGGCCTGCTGAGTACGGTTCATTTCCCGTAACCATCCTTTGGACCACCGTGCCTTTGCCCTTCAAGAGACCCCAAAGGGCTTCTCAATCTGTACACAACTATTAGACTCCTTTTCTGTACATGAGGGCACTTGAGAATAGGAGACTGAAGGCTTATTTCTCAAGAAAAATGTCATGCAATGGCTTACTTTCAGCTGATTAACTCCGTCCTCTCAAAGTTAGACTTGAAATGCAAGGAAAAGTAATGAGAGGTGTAGTGCCTGTGGGAATTTGAACTTGAAATAAGGTCTGTAGTGTAATGACTCTTGGTTAAATTATTCAACTGTGGTATTTTATAGATGAGTTTTGTTAATATATATTGAAGTATTTGCCATTCCTCAAGGTGCTGCATGTTTTAAGTCAGTCAGAAGAATTGCTCTGTGACTGGCAGCCTGTTACAGAACGCTGTTCCCTGATATAGAGCAGCAGCTTCATTAAGAAATCCCTTTTTAGTCATGTACCACAGTGTTCATTGCAGCTCTATTTACAATAGCCGGGGCATGGAAACAACCAAGGTGTCCATCAACAGATGAATGGACAAAGAAGATGTGGCACATATACACAATGGAATATTACTCGGTCATAAAAAGAAACGAAATTGAGTTATTTGTAGTGAGGTGGATGGACCTAGAGTCTGTCATACAGAGTGAAGTAAGTCAGAAAGAGAATAACAAATACCATATGCTAGCACATATATATGGAATCTAAAAAAAAGAAAAAATGGTTCTGGAGAACCTACGGGCAGGACGGGAATAAAGACACAGACCTACTAGAGAATGGACTTGAGGACACAGGGAGGGGGAAGGGTAAGCTGGGACGAAGTGAGAGAGTGGCATGAACATATACTCACTACCAAATGTCAAATACGTAGCTAGTGGGAAGCAGCCGCATAGCACAGGGAGATCAGCTCCGTGCTTTGTGACCACCTAGAGGGGTGGGATAGGGAGGGTGGGAGGGAGATGCAAGAGGGAGGGGATATGGGGATATATGTATACGTATAGCTGATTCACTTTGTTATAAAGCAGAAACTAACACACCATTGTAAAGCAATTATACTCCAATAAAGATGTTAAAAAATCCCTTTTTTATTCAGAGAGACACAAACTAATATTTTCATAGTGTTGTTAGACTTGGCTTGAAAAACAAGGTTGGGACATGCATTACCAGGATGAAGCTCTGAAGTATTAGCTTGCTCAGGTATTAAAATGGAGATTACTGGGTTTTTTCTTTTTGTTTTGTTTTATTTTGTTTGCCAATTTCTGACTTTCTTGTAGATCTGGACAATACAGAGAAAAATGAAAAAGTAAAGCTCAGCATCATTGTGCGGCTTCCTCCGGTAATCCTGAAGTATATTCTATTTTCTAAGCCTTGGCATGTACCCCTCCTTCAGTTTCTTCTTGCAGGAAGAGCAGTTACTGGCTTTGGGCCGAAGTCAGTTGAATTGTCTCACCCTTCGGCCCTTTCCAAGAAATCCCGTCCATCCCTACCTGTCTGTCCGCTGCTCCCACTGGGCCTGCCGAGTGCTTGCTCCCCTGGCTGTGCGTGTGCTGCTTCAGCACAGGCCCACCTAGAACGTTTAGCCGTTTTCTCCTCTGAGGAAACCACAGTAACATGTACGTCTGTGAGTCTGAGGGGAGGCAGAGGGGAAACATGTGCTTTTGGCATTTAAACTGATAAGAAATTGAAATACAGGTGAGGTCAGAAGGTTCTGGAGCTGCGTTTCCTCTTACTGTTGTTTGCACCACGGCAGGAAAACATTCCTGGTTGAAGGAAAAATGAGAAACATGAGGGAGAGGGTTATACAGGCACTCCTTGTTTTTGTGGGGTATTGTAGCTCTCTGAATCAGAAATGCTGTGAAATTCAGACATTCCACGGCAAGGTCTTCAGAGCCTCTGACTCTGCGGACTTCCCGGCCGTGAGAGCCTTGGCCAGCTCTGTGCCATTTACATACGTTGAGCACTTCTGTCTCTGGCACGATCCTCCCACAAAGGGATGTCTGATGCCTTCCTGGACCTAATCGCCTTGCTTTATGACACCTTCTCGCCCTCACAGGCTTACTGAGGCAGAGGCAAGAATAGAAAACAAAGCATATTCTCCATGGCTAGATCTCTCTGGGGAATATCTCTGAACATTTAGTTTGGTCTCTAAATTCGATTTTTTTTTTTTTTTTTTTTTGCCTTATACCCTTAGGGAATTAAAATTTTCTGGGCGAGACACTGGCAGAGTACATGCCTATAACCTTTAGCTTCATATCAAAATATCACGTAGGGTTGGCATGCAGATACTCAGTTTTGAAGAGTAACAGATGAACTCCATTTCAGAAAAAGAGTTTGGCAGCCTCACTACACAAAATGCTTTCCTCAGAGTTGCATTTAAGGGAGTATTTATTCAAAATTCAGAAGCATACCTCATAGGAAATGGCCTTTCTCCGAGGTCATTAACCATAAAGAGTCTGTCTTTTAGACTCAGTAGCTGGAATACATTTTAAAAAATTATGAATTGATATAAAATAAATTTACTTAATGCTGTGAGCTATATTCTCCTCTCTGTATTTTTCCATCTTTTTATTTTTATTATTGACTTAAATTTTTTAGTGTGGAAGGTACAGAGATTTCCTATACACCCCCTTCCTCCACATACACACAGTCTCCCCTATTATCAGCATCCCCCAGCAGAATGGGTCCATCTGTTACAGTGGATGAACCTACACTGCACATCACAATCACCAAAGTCCATAGTTAGCATTAGGGTTCACTCTCGGTGTCGTTCATTCTGTGAGTTTGGACAAATATATAAGGAGATATATCTAACACTGTAGTATCATACAGAGTATTTTCACTGCCCTAAAAATCCTCCTCTACATATTTTTCAATTTGCAAAAATAGCTTACAGGTCAGAAGATCTGTCGACTTTGGGATCATCCTGTGAGTTCTAACATTATTTCCCGGAACCATGTAAAGCAACTGCTTCAGAACTATAACAAACAGGTGAGTCTGTGTGGAGCAGAGGCCCCGCTAAATGATTTTGGAACCTCTTTGCCCATTTTAACATATGCATATGGACAGCAGTTGTAGTTCTTACCACTTTAAGTTTGTGCTTGTTGTGGAGAATCAGCTGATACCACAGCCGTTTCCCTTTTAGCCCCGGAGTTCTATGATGGACAAGTCATCATTCAGTGTAGAATTTCTGCCTCTGAACTACTTCATTGAAATACTGACAGATATTGAGTCCTCCAATCCAGGTAAGTCACTCCTCTGCTCTCAGGATTTTCCTGTTTTTCCCCTGACACATCAGTCAGTCTCTATGTGCTTCTGTGTACCTTTTTCTTGCCAAAATATCCCTTAATTATAAGTAGGATCTTCTTGCAGTAGGTTTTAATTAGCAATATACAATTTACTACCTAAATTACCAAAGGAATAACCACCTTTCAGGTTTTAAAAGGAATTAAGAGGTTAAAAACCCATTTGGTTGGTGTGAATGGCCTTTCTTGGTGCTGAGGTTTAATAAATTTTAACAACACCTTCTCAGAATAATGTGTTTTACTAAAATATAAAATAATTATGATTTCAGTGAAGTATGGGAACAATATTATAAATGTTCTATGGCTTCGTAGTAACTCTTCTCTCTCTTTTTCCTTTCAGCTCTGTATGCTTTTGAAGGACGTGACAACGTGGACGCAAAATTTGTAGAGGAAGCAGCTCTGAAACACACCACGATGCTTTTAGGCTTATAAAAGGGAAAATGCAGTTATATCAGCTTCCAGTATTTTTCTCTTGCTCGTTAGCTCTACTTCCGTTGAGAATTCTTTAGCAATAGTTTAAACTGGTAACCAAAATCAGAATACATTGTTGAGCCATCTGAATTTCAGTTTAGTACTTTGTTCAGACAGAACTAGACAGTCAAGTGTAGAGAAATGGCAGCCAGTCCAAGGGGGCATGAAGTGGCCTAAGTGATGCTCTTCCTAGTGGCTGATCTTCGTAGCGCTCTCATAGGCCAAAAGCTAGTTTCTATCATACTCTGAAATAAAATATACTTTAAAAATGTAGGAACAGTGCTTAGAAAATCAAAAATTGGCTGTGTCACTGAAAATAGCATATGACAAGCAGAAAAATTACAAGTTGTAGAAAAACTATTTTGGAAATTAGATACTTTTAAAAAAAACTGAATTTGGACTAAGTCAAATCTGCTAATTCTAGTAGGGAATAATTTGCAAAATACAACAATTTATACATACATAGAGTAGGATTTGTCTTCGTGAACGTTCAGATGGAACTGTATTTAATATTATAAAGTTATTTTTATATTTATAAAAGTTTGATTTAGTAATATGTTGTCATTTAAAAAAACACTGAAAGTTTTAGCCTAACTCCTTTGTTCTTTGAACATAGCCTTTTATTCCCACCAAGAATCATGACTCCATGAACATGTTCCCCCAAAGACCCACATGACACCTGACGAGTTCTCCCACTTTTCTTTTTTTTTTTTCCCTCTCTCTTCTACAGTGACGTTCTGACCATAAATACAGTTGATTCCTGGGGTAAGCCCAAAACCCTTTGCTTTCCTCTCTTCACACCGTTTCCCTCATTGAACTTGTGAAATTTTAAAGATTACAAATATCACTAGCCAGTAAAATAATTCAGCTTTTCTAAAATCATCATTCTAAAAATTATCCTCTCCTCCAGAATTTCCCATTTAGGTCAAATATTTCATGGTCACTGAAGCTCAGAGTCTTGGAGCCATATCAGCAAGGCGGTGCTGGTTTTTCCTCTTGATAAGGTCATTATTTTTCATTACTCTATGCTTTCCTCTTCACACCCGGGTTGTTTCTGCTGCTTTCTGAAGTCTCATTCATCTGATGCATATTAGAGATAAACACTACTTTGATCCTGTCACCCCTCTGCTCATAATCCTTCAGTGGCTTGCCATTTATTACAGGATAAAATCCAAACTCTTTGACATTCAAGATCTCCCAAATTCTGGCCTTATACACTTCCCCAATACGAACGTTCTGTTCCAACCAGCCTCGCTCACTGGGCCTTGAACAGAACTTTTATCTTCTTACTTCCAAGTCTTGCTCAGGCGATTTCCCCCTCCTGGAATCCCCTCCACTTACTAAAATCTTATTTATGCTTCAGGGCCAGATAAAAAGTTCCATCTGACTGTGATCCCTGGCCATTCCAGTGCACAGTGGCATGTCACCCTCTGGACCAGTAGCACACGTTGTAATATTTAAGCATCCAAACCTTTGTAATTTTTAAAAATTATTTTTCCTTCCTATCTATTTAAACTTCCTGTGTGTTTATTTTTTGAATCCCTAATTACTGATCCTACAACACAGCAACTGCGTGTAAGTTTGTAGTATTTCTTTGCATTAAGCACACAGCTTACACAGCGTTACTTGTTACAGGCTCTCTCAAGGAATTGCTTTTTAATGACTTCACAAAGCAGTCAGGTTAGATTCAGGACTCCTAGATGGAGAATGAGATTCAGTTTCCCTCCATTCTGTCGGGGGGGGGGCTTGGAACAGAATTTGATTTAGCAAAATAAATGAATGTGATATTTCTCACTCCCAGAGTCATGAAATGAAATTCATAACTGATAACAAGATGAAATAACAATAGTTTGAGCATGTTAATGAATGTAAAATCACTGGTTTCAAACCTACTTTTATATTTTTATGTGAGAAAGTAAACAGAATTAGCAAAATATACTTGGGTGAAATACAATAATATTAGAGTAGTGAAATCAGTGGAACTGGCCTCATTTTCTTTTTCACATGCAAAATTATAAATATCTTCATTGAAATTTTGAAAAATCTGGTATCAGAACAAAGTAATCACAAGTGTATTTGCATATAACATGGTGGAAAATCTAGATTTATAAGAAAGATAAATTAGGGCATAATTGTTTTTTCCCAAAAGGATTCTTTATTTGTAAAAAGAATCACTATAACATCACTTTAAAAAAGACAAACTTCCCTACTGCTTTTCACTCAGTTTAGATTTACTGACATCAACTTGCAATGCAACTATTTATTTAACAAAGTGAGTTATGCCCCTGCAGTACTTGGGCTATTTTCCTTTTCAACCATTCTTTCTTTTTCTTAAAAGTGGGTACATTGAACAGGATCTGCTTTTCTTTCTTTAATAAACAAAGACCACTCTGCCAATTTCTGTACTTCGCTGAAAAGGTATTTATTTTTATTGCATTTTTGTAGCACCCAGTCTACTATATATTTCTGAAATGTAATCAAGAGATAAAGTGAAAAAGAAAGAAATTGGTGAGTGTGATAGGAAGGAAGCATATGTTGTGGATACTCTGTAATTTAGAGCTGTTACGCTGACGTTTTCCAGCTGTGGATGTGAAGAAGCCTGGTTGAAACGCCTCCTTGAGAAGCCTGGGTTGGTTCACATGTTCAGATTTCAATTGGCTTTATAACAGGTTTCTTTATGTGCCTCATATTGGCCCCAGGTTCACTGGGCTTAAAAGGAGCCAAAGCGCCGTACGGTTTTGGCAGAGGAAGAGTGGACTCTGCCTCTGGGATGTAGGCATTTGGACGCTGATCCGCAGTTGTGTAAACACCACTGGGCAGCTGGCGATTTTCTGCTTCCAAGAACTCCTGCAAAGAATGATTTATCCTTTTCAGTTTTTGAAAACTCAGGTAAAGTCGCTTCGTCCTCAGGGCCCATCAGACACAGCTGGGTCTGAGCAGCCTTCGGCTATGCTTGCTGGCCGATATTCCCCAAAGGGACAAGAGGGTGTGTGGGTGCGTCACCAAACACGCACACCTGCACACACATTTCGTCTCATTGGAATGACCCATGTTGCTCAAGCATCACTGTACTCCTGGGGTTTAGGGTTTACCATAAACTGGTTGGTGGGACCTAAATTTGCTACATTCCAAACAGTATCTTTCATTAAACACTAATTATTTCCATGTTTGTGACAAAGGCAGGATAATCTGTTTCCTTTGGTAGGTCACTGGTGAGCAAATGGTACAAAGGAGGAGATAAGGAGTAAAGTAGAACCAGTGGAGAGAAGTGGTCAGCAGCTTGCTTTGAGCCTCAAGATTCTGCCTGTGTTTCTGGAAAACAGAGGAGTCTCTTATAGCATTAAAAAGAATTTGAAAAAATGGAGACAGGTAAATGACAGCTGGGACACCACAGGTAAAGTCTGAATGCCCTCAAGAATATAATCCCAGGTAGCATACGAATGACAGATCAGACCCTGTTTTCAGGAATTCATAGTATGTGTTTGGAATGCGCCTTTTTCTTGGGTTAGGGAGGGAATGGTGATCTTCTGGGGATGTCTGCTCTGTAGTCTGAGAGTGAGTTATAGGCCCCCAGGATGTAGTCTCCTCAGAAAGAGATGCCTAATTCCACTCTAAGATTATTGAAAGGTCATGGGAGTAGGAATAAGAACTGAGCCCCCAGTGTGTAGGTGCTCAGTGACAGACTTAGGTCTTTGGTGGGAGAAGGGTGGTACTGAAGCCTAATCGTAGCTTCTGCACCAGGTGCAGAGTCTGCAGAAGCCTGTGACAACCATAATACGCTTGAGGCCTCACAGTATGCTGTGATGGCCACAGCAGATACATTGAAGAGTAAGGTATGGTCTGAGCCAGGGTGCAAAGATAGAGATTAGAGACCTAGGATAAAACCAGTGCCAGCCTGGTCATTGCCATGCCAATGGGAGGTCCTGGTCTTCACCATGCCAGCCCAGGATAGAACACTGTGGGGTGGGACTTGATGCCCACCCAGTGTTCTCCAGGGAATATTCTGACCCTTTGGACTGTTGTACTTTGCTTGCCTACGTAATATCTTAAAAAAGCAAAACTTATTTCTAATGACTTGCTGGGCCTATGTGTGTGGTAGAGTAGAACATTTTCATATATTTTGGGAGGATTGACAACCCCTGCAGCAGCCCTTCCCGGCACATTTTACAAATGCAACACAGAAGCCATAGCTTACCCGAGACTTTTCAGCGATGGCCAAGGCATACATTTCTTCATCTCGAAGTACTTTCAACCATTCTCTCTCAATCTCTTTATTGAGGGGCAGACCCTTTTCCATCCTGGAGTTGCAAGTGAGGATGAAGTCTTCTTTCTCCTTGACTTCCTTTTGGAGTTCAATGGTCATAGCTTGTTTCATGGACAGCTCAGCAACAAGAGCCATCATTTTTTCAGTAGCATCTTTGATCTTTTTCTGGTAGCCATTCATCTAGAATTAAAAAGCCCAAGGCTTAGCCTATGTATATATTCCATGAAGACTTGAAGAAAATGGCAGGCTTCTGGCTGTCTCTGAAGGTGGGCATTCTTGCCTGAAGGAAGGATAGTTTAAGTGGGAATTCACAGAGAATAAGAACTGGAGGAGACCTCAGAGATTCAGCCCAACACCCTGGCTGTGAAATAGGACAAGGAGGAGGGAGAAGAAAGAGATCTGTTCATCTAGTTACTGGATTTCCAGGTGGGTAGTATTGAGGGGAATAGTTTAGTGTCTCTATTTTTAAGAGGTGATAAGGACAAAGGAAAGGGTATTCTTGATGTCTAAGTTCTGGCCTAATTTTGCCATGTTATTAGTTTGCCACTTAAGCAGGGGGGAAAATTTGGTAGAACAGAATTGTATTAGTTATTAATACACTTGCTTAAGTAAGGTAATCAGCATCTGTGATGATTTTTAATGGAAACTATCACACTTCAGTGTGTGTGTATTATTGATCGTAATTCCCAGGATGCATCATTATGAGGTCATAGGCAAGCATGAGCTGAACTGGACAGTCTGGCCAGTAATTTGAAAAGAAATGTTCCTAGTTGTGTATGTGTGCTTACCTTTTCATATAAGCTATTTATTATCAAAGAATTAAAAGATAAGACTAGGTGGGAAAATTGATTTTAAAAGACAGAAAAGAAGTAAAAGTGGAATTGGTGGTTCCTGTAAGCTTTCTGGCCCACAGCACGGCCTTTCAGTGTGGCCGAAGGCTGGTGAGGCAGTAAGAGGTGACTCCCGCCACCCGCCGAAACTCAGTGTCACATTACCCTGTCTTATTACTTCTTCATATCCTTTCACTACTGACATTATAATATAAATGTATTTGGTTATTTGGTTATAGCCTATCATCCTACAAGAACGTACTCTTCATGGGGACAAGGACTGTTTGTTTTATTCATGAGGTTCCCACTGCTTAGAATATAGGAGACAAAATTAAAATTGAATGTTTGTCGAATGAAGGAATGAATCAATTCTTAGTCTCTTTTAATTGTTCATTCCTTTGAACCAAGGTAAATTGAGACACGAATATGAGCGTCCAAAAACTACACCCTACCTCAAAATACTGTCTTCTCTTAATAGAGTATATACTGGTCTGTGTGTACATTTGCTTACAGAAACGTTGCTGCTGGTGATTTACGTGCCTCTGAAAATATAATGACCAATTATTATGTGAAAACTTTGTCTCTTTAAGGGAATAGGGAATATAAATTTCTATAACTTCTATACTGCATTAGTTTTCAGGAAGCATAATTTGAATAAAAATGACAGGCATTCAAAGCTTCAGTGATAAGTCATTATCTCTCTTTTAAATTTTATTAACTAGTCATTGCACACTTGAGTGTGTGTATAACTAACCAACCTCCCTTCTCCATAAATGAAAAAAAAAAAAAGGATGGTATTATTCTGGGTTCTCTGAGTCTTTGCTGAGATTTCCCATTTTCTGTTCATTTGGGAAACTTGTAAGAGGAGCCATAAGCTCTCTAAGATAGATGAGAGATGAGATGTGCAACCTTGTTGAACACCCGCAAGGGCCAGCCCACTTCTGCTAGACTATGTGATGCTTGCCACCACTTTAGCTGATATCACACCCATTTCACAGATCAGGAAACTGAGTTTTAAGACCATTTATGTATCTTTCTCAACGTCACTTGGTAGTGTTGGTAAGTCACAGATCTGGGATCTGAATGTCTTTCTGTCTTCCAGCTCTGCCTACTCTGAGGAGATTATTTTAAATGGAGGAGGAAGAAAGCCAGGTAGAGAGCATGGAATGTGGGGAACGGAAAGGGAGATAAATCATGAGGACAGGACTCAGTAATGCTGGAAACTTCTTGGTCATGTGGATTGTGTCGGCAGCTCCCATTTGTGTTTCTCTGGCTTAACAGTTGACTTCTGGAGGGACTCTGCCATCAGCTTTGACAAGCAGGCCTCAGCAAAAACCAGCTTCCCCCAAAGAAAGGCAAATTCAGTTTGCAAAATAAAGGAAGGCAACATTTAAAGAAACTTCAGACATGCTAATTCAGGCAACGTTCATGAGCCTAAAGAAGTCTTAACATTTCTTATTTTGTGAGGTAAATTGAGATTTGCACAAGTGCTGTTGGCCTTGTCAGTCTATTAGTGGAAGTGTAAAGCCAAATAAAAATGGCCAAGAAGCCTTGAGATTTGCAGTAGTTTAGTGTGCCAGAACTGTTTCTAAAACGGGACTGTTAACTTATTCAACAAACGTTTTTCTAAAGTTTAGCACATGCGAGGCATTGGGGAAACTAAGAATAAGGAACAGTCACTGCCCCCAGGAGCCCACAGTGGGTGACACCATCATTCATGGCGTCTTCTGAACTGTCTCCCCACACTACATGGTGTGGACAATGTGTCCCTTTCCCTTTTGCACTCAGCAGCTCCAGTGACTGTTGCTGACTGACGAAAAACCCTGGACTGTCACAGAGGGATGCTGCAAGGGGCCGGGGGCGCCAAGCAGGCAGCAGACCGTCTGATGCCTGATGGTGCAAAGTCCTGCTGCGTCCGAATCACCAGCCTCCCTCCTGCTGGCTGCTCCTCCTGCTATAGCTTCTAGCAGTCCCTGCCTGACCCTGTAGCTTTGGATCAGAAGCCCTGGTATTTTAAGCTTATGGAATTAGGAAGCCCCACGTTACTGGCCTTTCCTCACTAGTGAGGCTTGGGTGGGGGCTCCACCCCAGGGAGTTGTGTGACTGCTGTTCTCTTTAATGGTCCCCTTCCATTGCTGCCTTCTGGCTACTTCTGGATTCAGGCAGCTCCCATGCAGACCGCTGGATAAATGAGGCCCTCCCTTCACAAGGAACTAGAAAGGACTTAACATGTCTCATGAAACAGGAAGATAATGACTGTCATACTTGAGTAGGTACCCTATTAAGTGAAACTTATATACTGTCATTGAAAGGTTTAGGATTTCCCACTATAATGAGAATTCATTCAGGGCACAAGACTGAAACTTATCTTGGACAGTTCTCCAAGAGTCATCTTTACATTTTAAATTTTAATTCTTTGTCTTTATCTATTCATAAAGGCTAATCTCTCCGGGGCTTCCCCCAATAAATGAAGCAGTCTGTGGAAAATGGAAGGTGATAGAGGAGGAAGGACAGAAGAGAGGAGGCGGGGACTTGGGCAGACCTTCTTGGCTAAGAGCAGTGTGTCCTGCTTGCAGGCCTGCGTTTTGCTGCAGAGCCTGTCCGTGAGCCGGGAGACCTGTTCATAGATGAAATCCTTCTCCAGCAACTTCTCCTCCTTCTTGGCCAGCTGTAGTTCCAGCTACGGTCGAAAAGAATTTCAATAGGAAAAAAAAGTCATGCAAGTCAAAATCTTTCCTAATTAGAGCACTATTTTCCCCCCTTAATGAAGGGGGACTTCCCTAATGAACATTAATGACTCAATGAACTGGACAAAGTCAAGACTTCCCCTCACCCCCTGACCCCCGCCCCCGAGAGCTGTGGCACTTCTTCCTCCCCATGGCAAAGAATGGCCCTCTCAGCTCCATCTAGCTTCCACGTTGCCATTCCTCTGATATGCTCCCATCAGGAAGACAAATTAATCCATTCACGATGCCAAAATTGCTCCTATGGGCCATGAGACAGAGATGGGCATTTTGAAAGCACTCAGGTTTTAACTTTTTTGGCAAGCATCTAAAGTCAAGCTTAGGTTTCGTTACTGGATTGCAACGAAAGGACTATATTAGTGACTAGAATAATGAGGGATGAATCCTCATAACATGAAACTGTACCACAGATATCTGTGACACTGATCAACAGGGGCTAATAGATGCTATTTTAAGAAAGGACATTTACCGCATCCATTTTTTTGATCATTTCTTCTTTGGTCATATCTTTCCCCGGAAGGAAGCGTGTTCTGTTCTCACCCTCAGGATTTATAAACTGTTTCTCCAGGTCTTTTATTCTGTCTGTACACTGTGAAAACTATTAAACAAGAAAGAAACAGTAACTTTGCTCAGTAAATCTTAAAGTCACATAGCCCAAGGTCTTTAGGGTCTTTCCAGGCAAAGGTGGAAGGGAATTCTTAACACCCCATCAGCTGGGACTTGTGGTTAAGCAATGTTTCTACTCACGTGTGGTACAGAGAGGAAGATGCCTGTTAACTGACTCTGCAAAGCAAGGCAGTGACTTCTGGGTCATCAAAAAAAAGCTGACTTTACAACCAGTCCTTTTATTGCTTCCCATTTTGTGTTATACTCCCGGGATGCTGTGTGGTTGCAGAGCTCCGACTATACAGACTTGACCTCTTTATTGCACGTTGTTACAGGGGCCAAGGCAGACAGCACAGCATACAGGGTACACAACATACTAGACTCCAGTTTAAAACCCTTTGCTGGCAATAGGCTTAATGGCTTCCCAAAGAAAAGTAAAATTCTTAATTACTAGGTCAACACAGTGTACAGTCTGTGAGGAATAGCCCGAACTATTTGTATCTTTTTTGGTAAACACCCAATGTAATGTGTTATATATTCAACTATATTTGTTGACTCAATGAGACTTTGGAGGTGGATGAAGAAATACAGAACTTCTCAAGCAGGAGTGGCAGCCCCACTTAGCTGTTTTGTAGGGAGGGATGTAGAACACAGTGAAAACCAAGTCATCACCTTTAGCTTTTCTACTGAAAGTCTGTATAATCGCAGGCAAATCATTTATCTTCTCTAAACCTTAGTTTCCTCAACTATCAAATGGGAAAATAAGTCCCAAACTCATGGGATTGATCCATTAAACGAGATAATATATTTAGAGTACTTCAAATTTTTAAACTTATTCTCCTCCTCCCGACAAAAAAGAATTTCAAATGGTGACGTGAATATTGTTTTTCTTCCTGTCTCTCCACACTTAATTGCCCTTAATAGGGAGTTAATAACGTATCCATGTATGTGTATTTGTTATTAACAACATTTAATGTCTCCTTTTGTTAATTAGGAAATTAGATAAGAAAAGATATATGGTGCTTGCTTATCAAAGTGGCGCCTTGATTGATCTTATTTCCCCGTGGGCCCTTGAGGAAAAACCGTATCCTTTTTCGATATAAAATAGTGCTCTTGTGTCCAAAAACAGTTCACAGGACTTCCAGGAGCCCTAAAAACAGGCTATTATTACAAGTAAAATATTGCAGGAAAATGTGACTTATGATAATCCTTGGACGATTAAAAACTTTCAAGCAACCAAAAAAAA